GGTCCACTTGTATCAGGTATAAGGTAATATTTCTTGCATATCTGACATCTATAATCCTAGAGATTTCTACACCCCTGTACAAAAATAACAATAGTCATCCCGTAAATGAAACATAAGCTTGAAGTTACTTTTTCCTGTGGTGAAATTTCTGTGCTGGGTCAAGGACCCCTTGAGACCAATTCTAAGTATTTACAATCATAAAAGTTTAAGGTGTGAAGTAGCCTGTGCAGTTAGTTATCTGATATATCTCACTCTGCCTACCCTCATCTTCAAACCTTGGATTTCACCACTTAGAATACTCTAAGGGCCTGAGGTTAATGGCCAAGTCTGAAACAAGAAGTCAGTCCTACTACCTCCCAAATTCAATTCGGTGCTGTGCTTCCCTGGGTTGGAGGGGAGTGGGGGGAGGGGGCGTCTCTTACTGTTTAGGTGTAATTAACTGGCCTATGCTTTCTAATCACCTAGTCTCTAACAGATTTAAAGTGAAATTGTATAAAAAATATTTACTGTTTACTACACAGGGAATATTCCCATTTTCACGTCATAATTTTCTTCATCGCTCAAATTATTTGATATAAACACATCCTATCTATAGCTTTCATTTTATTTCTCAAGGGACAAAAAAAAATCTATATCTAGAATGAAAGAAACTCTATATCCAGGTTATTATCTTGGTGTGTGTGTGTGTTTTATTCCAAATAGTTTTAAATTTTTTTTTTTAAAGATTTGGGGTAGTGGCAATTAGAAAAAGCTTCCAGCCCTGGCTGGTTTGGCTCAGCGGTTAGAGCGTCGGCCTGCGGTCCAGAGAGACCCGGGGTCGGTTCCCGCTAAGGGCATGTACCTCGGTTGCAGTTTGTCCCGGGCCCTGGTTGGGTCGTGGGGGTGGCAGCCACTCGATGTGTCCCTTTCACATCGATGTTTCTCTCTCTCTCCCCCTCCCACTCTATCTGAACAAAATATCGAAAAGTGTCCTCTGGTGAGGATAAAAAAAAGAAAAAGAAAAAGCTTCCAAAATTGATTTTAAAGTGAGGTACGAAAAATGAACAAGAATTAGACAGGTCTGGGGATGGGGAAGAGAAGGAAACTTCCACAAAACAGAAACATTGGCATATGTTAAGTATACCTTAAGCCAGTGTTATTCCTATTCAAACTGGGGTGTGTGTGTGTGTGTGTGTGTGTGTGTGTAAAAGAGAGGAAGGGGGAGAGAGAGAGAGAGAGAGAAAATCTATCAGTTGCCTCCTGCACGTACCCCAACTAGGGATCGAACCCACAACCTGGGTATGTGCCCTGAATGGATATTAAACCCACCACCTTTTGGCATAGTAGATGAAGTTCCAACCAACAGAGCCACACCGGCCAGGGCCCTATTCAAACTGTTTTGCCACAACCCCACAATACTTTACATCTGGATGCTGTACACACACCTGTGTGTATGTGCATATTTGTGCAAGCACCCCGTCCCTACGTCACCTATCACTATCCGAAGTCTCACTACCCAAAATAAATACAGTTCCTAATAGATTCAGATAAATTAGTTTTAGGGTAGAGCTGGTATGCCTCCTATAGGAGAGAATGTAGAAGCATTCACACCTGCACCCTTCTCAGGACTGCCCTTGAACATAGTACCACCATGTAGTTTTTCCTGATGCCGCCCTCTCTCCCAACTCCTGCAGTGGGCAAGGACTGACAGGTATTTTTTCAGGGACAGCACTGGGCTTGACTTTCCACTAGTGGGTGTTTTTACAACGTGTTAGGACAGACAGCTTAACTTCTAGAATTTTGTCGAATAGAGTCAGAAATAATTTCTAGCTGGTGGAAAAGATAGTCCCAAAAGATTATAGTTTACGACCCTGTTTTAAATACACCAGTTTTCATCCAAGCCAGCAATCCATCAGTTGTCTATTTAACTAGTTTCTCAAATGCTTTTTGAACTGTTCTTTACTTTTTACTGGTTCTCTCACTAATTAATAAGTTGAAGAAAATCTTCAACACATACTCATTTTATATTTGCATGAGTAGTAATTTTACCTTTCTGAAAAGTTTAATAAGCACCACTTTTAACATTGTTTTTAGAGATGATCAGGGATTATACATCCAAAATAAACCCCTTTTTCAAATTTCACCTACATTTGCCTGGATTTTTAAAATACATAATATTTGACCCTGGCCGGTTTGGCTCAGCAGTTAGTGTTGGCCTGAGGACCAAAGGGTTGGGGGTTCAATTCCCAGTCAACGACACATACTAGGGTTGCAGGTTTAACCCCTAGCCCCGGCAGGGTTCGTGCAGAAAGCAGCTGATCAATGTGTCTCTCTCGCATCAATGTTTTTTTCTCTCTCTCTCCCTCCTTTCCTTCCACTCTATCTCAAAAAAGAAAATTAAAAAAAATCAATGGAAAAATATCCTTGGGTGAGGATTAACAAAAATTAAAATATAAATAAATAAAATAAATACATAATATTTGTAGAAAGGGTTATAAATTGCTAAAGAAGCTATAACTTGGCATAAGATTCTCAATGTTTAAGTCCTAGTACAGAATAAGCTATTCTGTATATTTCTCAATTATTACTATGCAATCATAGGTCCCATTTATGGCTAAAGACAGAGAATTTCTTCTGGGAATAGGAAGAAAATTAGACTGATATGAAAATAAAGCTGAAAGACTAGTCAGTAAAACTGGGAAAGTTCAAAACGATGGGTCTTTTCTACTCTACATATTATATAGTCTATAGAATAGTTTAAACCATCAGAGGCACCCGGCCAGTGTGGCTCAATGGTTGAGTATCAACCCATACACCAAGAGGTCACCGGTTCGATTCTCAGTCAGGGCACATGCCCAGGTTATGGGCCTGATCCTCAGTGGGGGCATACAGGAAATGGCCAGTCTATGTTCTCTCTCATCGATGTTTCTATCTCTTTCTCCCTTCCTCTCTCTAACATTAATGAAGAAAAATTTAAAATTATAAAAAGAAAAACATCAAAGGCTTGGGCAAAATAAATCTGAATATCTAAGACTACAACCCAGGCACTAGTATTTTTTAAAAATGTAATGTCTCTCCACAGCCACTTTTCCTGGGTGTTTTGGACTCTCTATAGCTCTTCCCCTCTGCAATCAAATAGTGAAGAGAAAATAATGAACAGAATTATGGATGATACACTTACAAAGAGTGCTATTATTATCTCTATGTTAACAAAAAGGAAAATAGTTTAAATAAAATTATGTATAAAAATAAGTATGCAACCTGCATTTATTTCATTGTTGGATTAAGAGTTTCTTGAGGAAAATGGACTGTACTGTTACTTAAAAGCTACTGCCAAATGAAGATCAAACGTGTATAAAGATCTCAAAAAATGTAATATAAACCAATGAGAAAACAAATTTTGTTATACAGACCTCATTTAGCATAACTATCAACTTACTCAGTATGGGCACCTACCACTGCGGACTATAAAAAGCAAGAAAAATATCAAAATGTGATCCTATGCTTCAACTTATGAACCACATAAAAATAAAGTTAAAAAAAAAAAAAAAAAGCTGGCTTCAATACCTTTGTATTCTGGAATTTAAACAGATAAAGAATTTTTTCTAAAATGTTTCCATTCCAATCTTGCTTCCATCCCTGCTTTTGTCTGTTTCCATGGATCGTGTGGTTACATTTGACCATTGTCATCCACCCAGCTGTTAAAGTAAAAAACCTGAGGAATTATCCTTAATGCCTCTTTTTCCCTCACACCCTTATTCAGTGCAATAGCAGGTCCTATCACTTTCTGCCATCTCTTAGTCTGTCTTTCTACTTCCACTCAGGACCCCTCTACAATGAATGTTGCTGCAGCTAGAGCAGAAAAGACATAAATTATATTATGCCCTCCTTAAAAGCCCCCCAAAGCTTTTGTAAACATCAGAAAAAAGTCCAAATGCTTTCTTACCATAGCCTTCAAGGCCCTGCAGTACCTAGCTCCTGCCTACTTTCCCAATATCTTTCCTAATGGATCACCTCCACACTCTGGCCCTCATTCCAGTCAAATATTTTAAGCAATTTGCAACACTGGCTGCCTGGCATACTCTTTCCCTCTCTCTTCACATGTCTACTTCCTGGTGCCCTTCTGATCCCAACTCAACTGACACTTCCTCAGAGTTCTTTATTGACCACTATCTAAAGCAGTCCTCTCTTCACCATCTACCACAAGACATTGCTTATGTTTTCCATAATGTTTAATCCAATCTGTGTCTAAGGTGAGGGAGTGGGGCTGTCTCCTTTCTTCTACCACCAGAATACAAGCTCAATTCGAAGGAGGGATCTTGTTTGTTCTACATACTAGTTTCCTAGGGCCTAGAACAATATATGACATATTGAAGGCACTCAAACAGGTAGTTGTTCAATCAGTAAATACTCAAATGGGGGAGGTCTGCATCTAAAGCACAGGACTGGAAATGAAATTATCTGAGTTCTATCTAGACGTGGCTCTACCAGCAATTAGCTGTGTGGCCTTGAGCACACCACAAGGTTGTGGAGACAGCAGGTATGAAGATTTTTTTCTAAATTTCCCTGTCTAAATTCAAGAATAAAGACATATGAAAGCCTTTAACCTCTGAGTCTCTCTCATTTGTACGAGATTACTATGTCACTTCCAGCTCAGAAATATTAGACAAGCCTCTATCTACTTTCCAATCTTAACTTTCCTTACTCATTCCTCATTGACACTCCTCCTACCCCCACCAACCCAATCAAGGTATTCACCATGAAACCAAACATCAGACAATGCACTTTCCTGCCTACACATTTGCTGCTTCAGCCACATCTCCGCCAACTCCAATCACTAGAAATTCTACCTTTCAAAGCCCCGATCAATAGTAAATTGCTTTATAAGGTCTGATCCAATCACTTAGCCCAATATTGGTATAATCATTATATGTTCTGGAAATTCTTTTATGCTTCAATTTCTTTTAAACTCTTAGCTTGTTTCCTGATCTGTAAAATGAAGATCATAGTATCTGCCATACCATGCTATTGTTGAATAATTGAGAATCCGTAGTTTGATAATAAAGTGTTCAATAAATCTGTTGTCAGCTACACGTATTTTTCTTTCTCCTTGAGGTCCATCAAAGTGACTTTTTTTCATTTCTGAATCTACAAAGTTTGAATCCATTTCTCCTCCCAAAGCCTTGTGTTTTCTTTCCTTAAAACGAAGGTAACAAACTAGACCAATTACCATTCCCTCCAAAAATGACAGTTCTCTTAACTATACTCTTATACAAACAGCCTACAGCAAAGATACCACAGGACAGCTTCCTTAAGGACGGGAATTCGAGGGGAACTGAAATTACTGTTGCAAATGGAAGGGGGGGGGGTGGAAGCATTTAAGTTAAAATAACATTGATGAAGACCTTGGTGATCCTTTCCAAAAAGACTGCCTCTTCCCACAATGATCAATCCTTTGTATTGTTGTTTTTAAGTTGGGCTACAGCTATTTAAAGGAGTCTGTGCCCCAAAAAAGCGGGAAAAAAAAAAGAATGAGGATGAAGAAGCCAGTCGCGTTAAGGAGGAAAATGTTTGTAAGCCACAAATGGACTAGAGCTTAGACAGGAAACCCAATGCCTTTACCTTACCCTAACCACAAGGAGCGGGGAGATGACCTGTGGTCGAAGGAAAAACTGGGGCTGCCCAAAAACCCTAAGCAGCCGGCTGGGCGGGAGGGGACGCCTGCGGAAGCGGTGCAACCTCGGAGCTCAGCACCTTCCCTAGGCCGGCCCCCAGCCCGCAGGCCCGCTGGGAGAGACCGGGGCCGAGATTCTGCAGCAACCCCCGCTTCCCGCCTGCGTACCTGCCGGGTCGAGCGCCATCTCGGCGACAGAGGAAGGTAGCCGCGTGGCCACTCCCGGGCAGGGGGCGGGGAGGGGAGGAGCCTGGGCACGGCTGCACGTGCTGCCTCCGCGGGCTTCCAGCCGGAGGAGAAGGAGTGCGTGGTGTCCTTCGAAAAGCGCAGCAGGTTCCTTTCCCTCTCCAGAGTCCCTACTTCCGCCGCCCATTGCGCCTGCGCCCTCCTGGCCCCGCCCCTAACTTGTAAATAGTGGAACGGACTTCGCAGTGGGAATGACCGGGAAAGGGGCGTGTCTGCGCGCGCGCTTTGGGGGCGGAGCCGTCTCAGACCTGTACAGCCGGGCTTTGGGCGGAGCAGGAGCACCCGCTGGCGGATTGGGATCTGTGGTGACGCGAGCAGAAGCTGTGGACCTTTGGGACTGCGCCTCCCTTAGTGACTCGATGTAAACCCAAGCCCCACCCTCCACACCCGCTTTGGGAGAACCAAATGAATTATCCCATTCCTTTATTTTTCCTTCGTTAACGTTCATTCATTTATAAACGTCTATTTCATGCTTTCCAGGTACCAGCCATTGTTTTGAACACCAGGGGAAAATAATTGATTTAAAATAAGGTCCCCATTCTCGAGGAGCACCGTGCTGGCAAGGGAGTCAGATACAAGCAACACGTTTTTAAATGTGATAAAAGCCACACGCGGGAGACATGCACAGATTATTATACCATAAAGACGGTATAATGTATAATGTGTGCAGTATCATTATTTCTTTCCCAAACCCACAGCCTGTGGCTCCCCTGGAGGTTAAAATTTTAAATTGGGAGCTAGGGGTACCTCTGTTTAGTGAAATATCCTCAGGGCGTACATTCCCGACTCTGATCATTAAAGCTGTATGTTTTGTGAAGAAAATGAAGTAATGTGGTAACCACCCTCCTTAAGAACCCCAACTGCCCTCTTCCCAATAGAAGAAACTTTCTGGTGACAATTATGCTAATTTCCACTCACCGACCAGCCTTCAGAAATGCTTACTTGTCATATCCACGTTTAACTAGCTTGAGCCTCCAAAGGGTGACGTGCAGCCAGGGACAGATGGGACAGATGTTAGAAAAACAAGGAGCAGCTGCTTCTTCCCTGCGAGGGATTTAGGGCTTTCAAAATGATCCCCTCCCCACCTACCTGCAGTCCCTCCTCCCCTGCTGCTGCTTCCGCCTGGTCAGTTGGCAGAAAAGCTGACGCAGTTGAGCAGGACTGGGAAAGTGGGTCTCGGCTCAGCAGGTCTTCCGTTTAAGGGCCTACTTGGGCATAACGGTCCTTATTACAGCTGTAGGTTGAGGTGCCAAAGTGAAGAATTAATGTTTCACTCAGCCAGGCAGGAAATTGGGTCCTTCTACTTGTATGTTTTATAAATGTGATTAGAAACACACCAGTGTCCATTCTGGTACTCCTTTTATTTTTCTGGAGGTGAAGGATTTAATTTAGAAAGTAAATCGTTTTGAGGAGATGATATCGGGTATAAAAACACAAGTCAGACGCACAGTTAAGTAATGACACGAAATCTCCCTATATGCAAAAGAGCATCATGGTAAAGGGAAAAGCCGGGAGCTTTAGTCAGAGACCAAGTACCAACACATGAAGCTGCATCACGATCTATTAACTTTGTCTTAAATAAGTTCCAATGTTTCTCTGGACCTTAGTTTCTAATTTACAAGGCTGTTGTGAGAAATAAATGCGATATTGTATAACACTGTTTTAGTAATTGAAGGACCATTTCTATAGGTTTTGCCATAACTGAGTATCACTTGAACCATTATTATTTAATATTTTTTATTTAAATCAACTCACTAATTTAAAAAACTTAAATGGGCACTATCCACTTTAGCCTGTAAAATCATGGGTTTTTTGTGTCCCAGAAAATGGACTGCTAGCCATATCACACTATGAGAAGAATTAGCAAAAATAGCACCTAAGTACCTGGTATGTAAGAGTGTATCCCTCTCCTCTCTCATAGTAAACTAGATCTTGTAGGGGCAAAGTCTTTACAATCTAACTGGTAAACATAAGTCATTTCTTAAAAAGTTAAATCATGGAAATTTAATTGGCAATTCAAAACAGAATAAATTTCCTAATATCACATTATTAACAGACAAGTCTTTGGGCAGTAACTGCAATAGGCACATAAAGAGGAAGGAGAACACCTTGTCCTGGAAATTAGAAATTATGTATTATCCAAACATCATCCCTAGGGCTCAGACAATATCTGTTACCTAAATGCCCCAGGGTAGCCTTTCACAAAGGTTTCAAAGCCAGAATGGTTAGGAGAGACTTTAAGATGTGGTAGAAATTATGGTTGGCCTTGAAAGACGGATAGCCTGAATAGGCAGGGAAGAGGCATGTCACGATAGGAAGGAAACAATAACAGAAAAGGGCACAAATCTTTGTGCAGCTGAGTAAGGTTTTTATGTATACATTTTTGAACTACCATGTCAAGATATAGAACATTGCTAGTCGTATAGAATGTTCCTTGATACCCCCTCCTAGTCAAACCCTACCCAACCAAAGTAACTATTCTCTTGGCATCTATGAGAATTGATTAGTTTTGTCTGCTTTTGAACTTTATATAAATGTAATCATACATACCTGGCTACTTTGGCTCAGCTCAATAGCTATGAGACTCATTCATTCATGTATCTATGTACCTATGGGACTCATTCATGTATCTACATATCTGCTCTCTTACTTCTTACATTTGGTAAATCATTTTTCCTCCTCAGACTAGTTTCCTCAGTAACACCACCCTGCATGATTGACTGAGATAGACAAACACTGAGCGTGGTTTCTGTCAAATAGTAGGTTGTTCATCAGTTCTAGCCATTGTTACTATGATAAATATCTTTTGCTTTTAACTGTCCTTTTGAACTATTATTGCACTATATTCAGTTCTTGTTGTTTTTGATGTGATAGTTCAGAGCTACTCTGCCTTCAAGCCTGAAATGTAGGTAACAGTATGTTTAAATCAGGATTATGTGAAACACCCTTCAAATGAACAAAGGAGATTTAACAGTGTGCCCTATCACTTACCAGGTGAGGAAAAAAAGTGTGAAAAAATCACCTCTCACCTCTGCAGAAGGCTTTTTATATTTCGTGTTTTGTTTTTACTATGTATTGTTTTCTGGGTGGCCTCCTTTGAGACAGACCACAATGTTCTCTGGGGTCAGAGACTTATTTCTTTAAAAATGAAATAATGATGAAGATAATGATACTACTACTATGAATGAATTTGGTTGGAGTTCTGTTGCCCTGGTTTTGTGTGGATGCTATGATCCTTTGTAGAATTTCTTACAGGAGCTGAAAAACTTGACAAATAAAAACAGCAGTTTTTTTGTTGTACACTCAGTCTGAAATATCAGTGACATTTTAGTTAGATATGGCCAGTTGCACTGAAAGTATCTCAAGGATCTTTTGCTTATTTAGAGTAAACAAACTCAGTGAAACATTTAGTGCCCAAATGTCTGCACTGCTAATCTGACAGAAGGCAAACTTCCTGAATTCATTGTCCAACCCCTCCCCCCCGCCCAAACTGGAGAACCTACTATGTGCATGCACTGAGCTGAGTCCTGCGGAAATAAGATAAATAAGATGAAGTCTCAGTCCTCAAGGAACTCAGAGCCTAGAGGGAGAGAGACAACATATGAGCAAATAATTACATTCCAACATGATAGAAGATGATGTGGAAACCTAGAACAAGGAAAAATTCATTCAAATTACAGACTTTATATAAATGCTTACATTTGAAGTAAGTTTGCAGGATGACTAAGTGTTCAAAAAGAGAAAGACAAATGGAGTCCTGACAGCATTTTACTGCATAGAATAGATGTAGGACAACCATCATGAACTACAAATGTGGTTGAAATAGCTAGATTGGCCATTATTATTTGGAGCCATATAGAAAGATCCAAAGTGGAGGGGGAGGTGATCAAATGTTGAGAATTGCTATCAAGTTGCGGTGCTTTCTCACTAGTGCTGTGGCCAGACAAAATGACCCCATGTCATTGATTCTGGTATTTTTATCATGAATATGAAGCACTGAGTCCAAATGAAGAGCTGCCATAAGTTCAGGCCTTGACCTTCTATAAAGAAGAGTGTTTCCACTGATATATTCCATTAACTAGTTCTATGTCAAGGATTCAATGATCCCAAGGCATGGATGAAAGGTATCCTACAGAAATGAGGTATTTATGTTGCCAAGTTACAGGACTTTCTGCTCTTTGATGGGAGAGGCTTTGTTTTACACACATTTGCATCTGTCACAGGACTTGGCATCTGTCAGTGTAAATGTTTGTGGCCTACGTTTCCGTTAATGA